GATATGGGCCGATATTTCACGTGGGCATGTTATACGTCGTTATAAAGCTTAGACTCTCTACATTCTGTTCATTTAATCCAATTTACAGACAGATAAATGTTCCCTAATTATGTGGCTCCACATCAGTATTTATCTACGGAGTCATTTGTCTGTGTGTCCGTACTGTCCTGAACACACCACAGAGTCACGTACTGTCCCTGAACACACCACAGAAGTCGCGTCACTCACGTGTGTTTGTTTACACCTGCAGACACAGATCCAAACACTGACATTATTTTCTTTTTACGGACAATCGGTTTGAGTCTGGATTAAAAGGACATTTATTAGTGCAGATTTGTGATGTGGAGGAGCCTGTGTGAGCGGTGAGTGTTGGAAATATGTCGACTCTGAAGCTAGTTTTGGTCATTTGTTATGGGTTAGCTGCTGTAGCTCTGCACATAAACAGACTGTTTTCTATTGGTTTGTTCTAAAGTGATTATATTGTTCGTATATTTGCTACTGGACCTGCACTGATATGTAAATGAGCTGTGAACAGACGTGTGAATTATGACATTTGCGCATATAATTAATTACCGCGGCGCACGTATTTACGGCTAAAGGCTAATAGCGCTAGTTTCTTTACTAGTTATGGGTCGGTCGCGAACGAAATGACTCTTAGAAACCGACTCTTTGAAGGGAACGACGGAGCCTGATCCTTATTGGGAGCCGTGTTTTCTCTTTCTCTCACTTTTTTTCTCTTCACGCCGCGTGCAGACTTCGTGGTTTGACAGCAGCAGCGGCTAAAAACGAAACTTTGAGAAATTTGCGTGTACGTAGGATTAAAAAAAAATAATAAAAAAAAAAAAAAAAAAAAAACGAGCATATTTGACTGTAGTTTAGCATAAAATAAATAAGTCCCGGTTTTTTCAGTCCTGAGACCTGGTTCAGTCCTGCTTTAGACGTGCTTTAGTCCTGCTTCAACAAAAACAATCTGAAGAGCCACTTGGGAGCCAAAAGAACCAGCAGCTTTTAGTGAGCCGAGCCAAAAGAGCCGGTTCTCTAAAAAGAACTGGAATCCCCATCACTAGTGTCTAGAATGTGATGCAAAAATGCCATTAAGCCGAACTTCTGTCTGTAAATATGATGTAAAGAGGCAGAATAACAATAAATGTTGCCTAAATAAACCAAATTTAAAATCCATCAGAGCCAAACCTAAGTTTTTTAAACAATTCAACATTTACAGTGAATTTTTACATCACTAAATATATCGGCGATTATATCGGCAGTGCCAACTTTCATTATATCGGTTTCATATCGGCCACAGCAAAATCCATATCGGTCGGGCTCTATACATAAATAATAAAAACTGCGTTAACGGTGTTCAATTAATTGTCGGCGATAATGACTTAATTAGTTAAGGCAAAATGATGGTGTTAACGTGCCCGGCCCTTGTTTAAATGTGATGTTTTTAAGTTGGTCCAGTTTGTGTTGAAAGTCTGGGACCTCAGTAAAAGGACACTTTATGTTTGATGTGTGATCTGTCTGTTTATTCAATATTGTTTATTAAATAAGTACAATAAACTAAACTAAACTATAAATATTCATCTCTGAATAACAGTTTATTTTACTTCACAAGTTTGATGCTTGAATGACATTTTCACTCTTGGACTGTGCACAGTAAATAACCTCCACTCACATCTGAGCAGCATCAGTTTAGTTCTTCACTTTAATACATTTTTTAGATGAATGTTTTCTCCAAATGTTTTTCCTCTTCCCAGACTCTCCCTGGAGCCCCACAGTAAAAGTCTGTGGTGAACAGACAGAGTCAGAGGTGGTGACTATAACCTGCTCAGCTCTCACTCCCTGTCCACACGCCCCTCCTCAGCTCACATGGGACCTGCACCAAGACACCGCCCACATCACAGAGACCAACACAGACGGGACATTTACCACTAAAATCACACAGAACATCACTGTGACAGACGCCCACGATGGACTCATGATAAAGTGTAAAGCATCGTATCCTGTGAGTGGAGCGTCCGACAGTAACGTCACTCTCAGTGTCTCATGTGAGTGAACCACACTGATGGATTCTCTCTGTTCTGGTGATACGTTGCTAAAAATGTATTAAATGGAGATGCAATTTGTCTGAAATGTTCCACAGTATGGCATTAAAGTTCCCTGTGTGTCCTCAGATGGTCCTAAAGACACGTCTGTTGGGGTCAGTCCGTCCGGTTCACTGTCAGCAGGTCAGTCAGTGACGCTGAGCTGCTCCAGCAGAGCCAAGCCTCCTGTCCAGCACTTCACCTGGTTCAGACACACTTCACAGGGACCAGTCAGTGTGAACCAGGGACACACGTACAGCTTCAACATCACTGAAGAGGGACACTACTATTGTGTGGCCTCAAACACACTTGGAAATGGATCATCTCCAGACATTATACTGAGTATAACTATTACATCATCTCTGTGGCATTACATCATACATATAGTGACTCATTTACACATGTGTAAGTCTTAATGTGAGTTATATCTCACTGAAACCAGTTGTTGCTTTTTTAGAATTATTAGAATATTAAAATGTTAATATTATAAAAGAATAGACGCATCAAGAATCTTGGACTTCTGGTCATCGTACAATTCACACTGGGAAAGATTCTCCGAAAAAGTGAGCATCAAACCTCCATGTTTGTTTTCCCAGTGGGACGTGTCTATTGACAAAGTCGATCTTTTCAAGTCTTTTGAACCATTTCACTTTTGTTTCTGGTTCTGATATTGTCATATTTTAGTTTTGGGATTCGGACGTCGTCATTGTTGTGGTTGTTGGATCCAAACAGCGGAAAACGACTCGAGAAATGTGTTTGTGAACTTCATAAATGCAAAAGTGAATCAGATGTGTGTGACTCAAACCTCCGTTCAAACTGTTTCTCTTCCCAACGGAATTGAAAAATAGTGAAAGGTGAAGGTGATGGGCAGGATTGATCCACAGGAAGAACCAAAAAGGAAACATTTGTCTGACTAAGAAATCATCCTGAGTTTACAGAGAACATTTTGTATGTGGAGCGACGACAAAACAAAATCCCGATCCCTCGTTCAACCTCGGTTATGAATTTAAAAAGTCGACGCCAAAGTGAAAGTCTCCAACTGTTCACCAAGAAACACCTTCCACTGCAAAGACCAAGACGTGATGTTTCTGTAAAACCACAAGAACAAGAAAGTGCAGCTCAGTCTGTTTGTCTTCTGCTCCTCTACATTAACAAACGGGATTTTGTTTTGTCGTCGCTCCACATACAAAATGTTCTCTGTAAACTCAGGATGATTTCTTAGTCAGACAAATGTTTCCTTTTTGGTTCTTCCTGTGGATCAATCCTGCCCATCACCTTCACCTTTCACTATTTTTCAATTCCGTTGGGAAGAGAAACAGTTTGAACGGAGGTTTGAGTCACACACATCTGATTCACTTTTGCATTTATGAAGTTCACAAACACATTTCTCGAGTCGTTTTCCGCTGTTTGGATCCAACAACCACAACAATTACGACGTCCGAATCCCAAAACTAAAATATGACAATATCAGAACCAGAAACAAAAGTGAAATGGTTCAAAAGACTTGAAAAGATCGACTTTGTCAATAGACACGTCCCACTGGGAAAACAAACATGGAGGTTTGATGCTCACTTTTTTGGAGGATCCTTCCCAGTGTGAATTGTACAATGACCGGACGTCCAAGATTCTTGATGCGTCTATAAGACATGACACAGAAGTTGAAGTTCATTTTTCTCTTGGTCAGAGCCTGTACCTGTCGTGACTTGGATTGGTCCGTACAACACAGTGAAGCTCTGTGTGGTTCTACTGCTCTACAGCTCCCTGCTCATTTTTGAATGGTGAGGTTCAACTTTGTATTTATTCATTCATCTGTCAGATCTGACCTGGAACTTGGCCTGGGTGCTGTCACCTGCTTGTCTCCATGGAAATAAATAAGTTTATATCTTAAAGGTTGTATAGAGGATTTTCCAAGGAATGAAAAATCCAGCAACTGTTTGTCCTTTTTCAAATGTTGCTCCTGCGTGAAACCCCCCCCCCCTCCCCCACAGCTCCTACGTAGAAACGCCTCCTCCCTCCTCCTCCTTACGCCACAAACAGGTTTGTTTCTAGAAAACAAGTGTAATGTTGCGCCCGAGAACCCTTATTTACTCACAGAATCCGTTCTGGCATAAAAAAGGACAAGGGCAATGTGGTAGAAAAGTTACACCTCTTTATTTAAATCTTCTAAACATTTAAAAAAATATTTCATTTTCTGGTTCCCTTCTTGATACAATTACACACCACTCAACCCCACCCAAACTAAAACACAACAAATCAAATTAATAATCCAAACCAAACATTAATACCAAAAAAACAAACACTAGTTGAACCCTACATTTACAATAAGTTAAAGTGCAGGTGCGCTGTAAACCTGGATAATGTAACAATACTTAAAGTGCGTGTGCCAAGGTACCTGAGGTAGACTTCGTTACAATAAAGGGCATAAAATTCCAGCTGGTGAAAGTGCTCGTGCTGAGGAGGCCTATTTGGGCGAAAGTGACTTGTGCCAACCTGAGACCTGACCTCACACTGCACTGACCCCCTGACCAAATATTGCACTTCCCTCCAAGACCTCGGCTACTGTTAAACATTCAATTAAAACCAACACTAACAGGATAAAGAATAAAGAGCAAGAATAATGCAGCAGTGGTGATCTGTTACACAGGGAAAAAGAAATGAGCTTCAGGTAGAGCATCAGCGACCACCACCCCAGATCTACAACCAAAGAGCATTTACCGCAAATTTAGAAGGGGGAGGGGGGCGCTCTACATGGGGCTCGGAGCGCGTTACGAGCGGCCGCCGGCACCACCGCCTACTCCAGACAACCTTTAAAATGTAGTCAGACACATCGCATTAAAGCAAATTCTGTAAGAAATATTAAAACAACAAATCCGGTACTTACACGCGCTGCCTTCAGAAGCCACCGAAAGCCCCGACTGCCACCACGGCGTGCGCAGCCTTTTCTAATCGCGCAATCAGTGACGCCGGGAGCCACGCGCAGCGACGCACAGGTGGACGCACTCCACGGACGCAACACAGCAGGACAACATAGTCCAATCACCCGGTTACACAAGTCCTCATCACTGCACATGACCTGTAAACAACTAACTACAGTGTTGGTTAGGGAAGGAGGTGAAGAGCGAAACGAGGAGCGAGGAGAGGAGCAGTGAAGGTGCGCTGAGATTCAGTGCGAATGAAACTACTACCAAAACACGCAGCAGCAAGCGGACTCTTTCTTTGCATTGAAAATGACGTTTTCAGACATAGGATATCGCTTTCGTGTCCTGAAAAACATTTGTGTAGCTCTTGGAAATAAAGTAGGTTTTCATAATAAGCAGAAGTTTCCTGTCCAGGAGTAATTTGTGGACCAGTGGTTCAGTCTTTAGACCCTTCGTCTGCTTCAGTCGCACCATCGCTGGAATGAATCTCCAAGAATCACCTTAGTTTGGCTTCGCTGCTTTTCCCCTCGTCTTCTTCTTTCAACGACCTCAAAAAGGGACTTTGTTTTGCGGCGAACTGCTCCTGGATTCTTGTCGCCATCGCAACAAACTTTGTGCGAACTGCGAGGAAGATATAGGTCAAAAAAGCCGCTAAGAACTGTTGCGTTGGTGGAGTAAACAGCGTCTGTGCGTCTTGCGTGTGGACTGTGTGACAGTCGTACGTAAACCACGTACCGGCGGCGCAGGCAAGTCAGTTACACTAGAAACGTAGGGAGTTTGATTGACAGCCTGTCAGCTCACAGATAACGAGGCAGTGTCGTTATCTATTGGCAAATGTTTAGCCCCACCACGTCCAGAGTTGATCAATTTTTATTCTCTTTTTTTTTGGTCATCATAATTACAAGGCGACTGCATCTATAATCTATCACTGACAATTTGAAACAAAAAAAATCCTCCATACAACACAACACATTAATAAGTGAGTAAAGGCCACAAGTGAGTAAAAAAGTCAAACTGATTCTTCTGATTTATTTCCAGCTGGTTTAGAGCAACTTACCCCAAGAAACAGGAACAGGTAAAAGTTTTATGAACACACTTTTGTCACACTGTTTAACTTCCTTCTCTCTGTCGTCTCATCCACAGAAACCAGAGGCAGCAGCAACTGTCAACTGTGCCGCTGTAAATCAATCTTAAAACCCTGTGTGTGTTTACTTGTTTATGTTGTGTTTTATTTATCATGTACCTGCAAACCAATCAGTTTATATCCAATATGAATTGTGCATTTATAAGTGAACAAGTGAACAAGTTACTGCATGTTTGTGATCCAGTAGGTTTATGTCTGAATCAACCTCGTAAAATGATTTATGGAATTTGTCAAAACATAATTCCAGCCTGAAGAAGAATCACTGATAACACAAAGTGAACATTTACTTTGGATTTCTGCTCTTATTATATTAAATCAACTGTAAATGTAAATTCAATTCTTTATGTTTAATAAAGTCATGTTGACGTCTTTTTCTGTTGGATTTTTTCAGTAGCAGCAATTTAGGCCTAATGAATCATTTCTCTCCATGTTGGAATAAAAAGGCAAAGTTTGTGTGTAAAGGAAAGTATCTACATTTGTCAAAGTTGAACTGAGGTTTTGATGAATAATAATTTTCAATACCAAATGACTCCAGTAGGTGTCAGTAACGGCACAGTTAAGGCAAACTCACTTTCTGGGTTTAGTAGAAACGGCGCAGTTTAGTGTAAAATGTGTTTATAGACACGACAAGAATCTCGAACCTCCAGTCATCGCACAATTCACACTGGGAAGGATTTTCTGAAAAAGTGAACATCAAACCTCCATGTTTGTTTTCCCAGTGGGACGTGTCTATTGACAAAGTCGAACCATATTCACTTTTGTTTCTGGTTCTGATATTGTCATATTTTAGTTTTGGGATTCGGACGTCGTAATTGTTGTGGTTGTTGGATCCAAACAGCGGAAAACGACTCGAGAAATGTGTTTGTGAACTTCATAAATGTAAAAGTGAATCAGATGTGTGTGACTCAAACCTCCGTTCAAACTGTTTCTCTTCCCAACGGAATTGAAAAATAGTGAAAGGTGAAGGTGATGGGCAGGATTGATCCACAGGAAGAACCAAAAAGGAAACATTTGTCTGAGTAAGAAATCATCCCGAGTTTACAGTGAACATTTTGTATGTGGAGCGACGACAAAACAAAATCCTGATCCTTCGTTCTACCTCGGTTATGAATTTAAAAAGTCAACGCCAAAGTGAAAGACTCCAACTGTTCACCAAGAAACACCTTCCACTGCAAAGACCAAGACGTGATGTTTCTGTAAAACCACAAGAACAAGAAAGTGCAGCTCAGTCTGTTTGTCTTCTGCTCCTCTACATTAACAAACAGGATTTTGTTTTGTCGTGGCTCCACATACAAAATGTTCTCTGTAAACTCGGGATGATTTCTTAGTCAGACAAATGTTTCCTTTTTGGTTCTTCCTGTGGATCAATCCTGCCCATCACCTTCACCTTTCACTATTTTTCAATTCCGTTGGGAAGAGAAACAGTTTGAACGGAGGTTTGAGTCACACACGTCTGATTCACTTTTGCATTTATGAAGTTCACAAACACATTTGTCGAGTCGGTTTCCGCTGTTTGGATCCAACAACCACAACAATTACAACGTCCCAATCCCAAAACTAAAATATGACAATATCAGAACCAGAAACAAAAGTGATATGGTTCAAAACACTTGAAAAGATCGACTTTGACAAATCAAACATGGAGGTTTGATGCTCACTTTTTCAGAAAATCCTTCCCAGTGTGAATTGTGTGTTGACTGGAGGTTCGAGATTCTTGACGTGTCTATAGAAAATTTTACCACTAAACTAACGATGTGTACGTCATCACAACTGAACCACTTCACTTCAGTTCCTTTACTTTTCACACGTTCAGGGGGGTGCACCGTTCCTGGAGGCGCTGCAATACCAGGTCGATGCGCGGAGTGGACGGAGCAAGCCCCTGTTCCATCTCCCGGTTCCAAAAATCAATTTAATATATGGTCCCCGGGTAGGGGACGTATCAGATATTAAACTGATAAGAACAGATACTACACTTGATCTTAGCCAAAAGGCCGAGAAGCGATAACTACAAACTGTCTGCGTGTCTGAAGCCACTCTCCGCCACACCGACCTCAGTCACGACGCAAATATACGTACAATTAAAAACATTTCTTTAAAGCGTTTCCGTGTGGTTGCCGTAAAGCAGAGAACATAACAACACGAATGCGCCTATTTGAAATGAATGAAGTGACCTAAAAAAGCGCTACTTTTTGAGTTTTAAAGCAAATTGGAACCGCGTTGCAACATTTCCGGGACACGTGGTGCGCCATCGTCCAATCACATTCAAGATAAGACAAGAAGATACGATTAAACTAAAAATACTCTATAAAACGCGCAAATTACAGTTGGTTCATGGAATTACTCTTATGGAAATGTTGTTGGTGTCGTTATTGGTTTATAAAATGGATATAAAAGCGCTGTTTGAAGCCTTTCTAAGCGACCGCCTCTCTCCCCCGGGAACACAACATGCGCGACAGACAAGATCTGCCCCTGCAGTTTTAATTAGAGCTTTTCTGTTCACCAAGTCACTTCGCCTTTTGAATTTAGACAGTTTCATTTTAGTTGTCGATGAAAACACATTATAGACAGAAATTATAGAATCTGTTGGCGCCCATTGACGTTGTAATGACTTTTTTGTTCTTCGTACTTTGACATGCAAATTACAAATAATTTGGGCTGAAAGGAGCGTCCCTCTCTTGTTACAAACATACGGTTAGTTTGACTCAACTTGCTCAACCACGGAACAAAAAGAGATATGCAATGGACTTACAAAACAAAATTCTACTGTAGGCCTGTCAGTTGAAATAGCTACTTTTGACAAGTTTCTAATCTTTTATCAGTAGGCTGTTTTATTATTTTTTGTCTCATTTCAAGTGACACAAGAAATTAAAACGGCTTAATAAAGTTGCATCGTCGTCAAAATCTTACCTGGAGTTGCGTTTTATTAATTCGCACGTGTAACTTCAGTAATTCTGCACGTTCACTCCGTCCCCTGGCTGCTTTTTCTCCCAAGTCATTCTCCATAAAGTTCCTTGTCTTTTTATATTCCACGTCTTCTATCTGACCCAAGTTTCTCCGTGAATCCGCGCAGGAAGTGCCAAAGAGCATTAAATACATTTGTTTTTAGCTCATACTGACGACTTTTGGGTTTCAAATACAGTGGATCTCTGTCGCCATCTGGTGGTGATGTATAAAACTACACATGATAGAGCGAAGGCTGCAGTGGATATTTTCTCTACATACAGAATCAAGTTGTACTAAAGGATGGAGGATGCTGGTGGAGGGCCTGCCATCTTTTTGTCTTGTGGATATGTTTTTTGCTTTGTTTGGAATGTTCCACATTAGAGTGTGGATCGGGACGAATTTTTTTCTGTCCAAGACCGGCTCGGGTCTGACAGAATGATCGACTCTGACCGAACGCTATCTTATTTTATTTTACTGGTTTTATTATTTTAAGACTAGTATGATTATTTTAGTAGTTTATTTTATCATTTTATTATTGTTGTTATTATTATGTATTTGTGCAGAACTTTGGAAACTGTTTGTTTGTGAAATGTGCTATAGAAATAAAGTGGATTTGATTGGATCCCAACACAATTAAAATCACACTATCACGATATAGTTCCTCACGTGTGTCTGCAGATGAGCGATAGTGACTCTACTTCCTGTGTATTTTATCACCAATCTTTTATGCTTTAAAAATCATTTATCTGAAGTATTGCTCCACATTTCACAAATAATAATGACACGTTCTCCCTGCGTGTGGGTGGGTTTCCTTCAACCACTTTCTCCAGTCAGTCCAAAACAGGCACAAATCCTCCAGCTAAGGTAGTCCTGACCTAACCTGATTCATCTTCATAGAAACCGTCTGACCTCGCAGCATTAGAATTCGTTCACTCGACGGTAGGCAGGTACTTTTTTTAATTTAACGAATCACTGCTATTTATTTGTGATGTATGTAATGCGCCGCTAACGGGGCTAACTGGTATATTAAGCTTTTCTCAAATCCCGAAGGAAGAAGAACAATAACGTCTTTCCCCTTGATAAAATTCACCAAACATTCTCTTTGTTCCAGCTTTAAATCCGCGATCTCGGGAACTGTTGCCAACACAGAATGTCTGTCTTAGTCTACATCCATCTCGACCGCTTTGTTTACTGTTGTGCTGTACCACAAAATTTACCCAGACAGTCTCTTCACTGACTGGCCAGTGCGCAGTCTACAACTTCCAGAGTTTTTGCAAACTGTCTAGTGTATTCTGATTCTTGACCTAGTCACTGGAGAGAAATGAAATTGAGCGGAGGCACTAGGTGGTGCCAGTCTGGCTTTCGGTTTCCTCCATCAACCCAAAACATGCACAACAGGTCAAATCCTCCAGCTAAGGTAGTTCTGCCTGAGTACTCGCTGCCCACTGCTCCTGAAAAGATGACCCAGTAACATTGAAGGATGTGTCAAATGCAGAGGACAAATTTCTGTAGGGGGACAATTAAGTATCTTTCACAGAAGATTATATCAACCCAAAAGATGGTAAAATTCAGGTTTACAGTCAGCGGTCCACCTTCACCTTAAAACCACTCATTTGAAGACAGTGACTAGAGTCTTGTACAAAAACTGTAGGCCTGTATTTAGACCTAAAACCTTGTTGGCATAGTAAGTCTATATTTCAGGATGTGAGCCAAGGAAAAAGGAGTTATAGGCCACTAAACTGCACTGACTAGCAGCTCTTGTCTTTCTCTGTTTTTATATTTAGGCTGTGTAGAATCACTTGTGTGTAAAAATTTGTCTGGCTCCTTGTACCATCTACACCAGTGTTTCTCAACCTTTTTTGAGCCACGGCACGTTTTTTACATTGGAAAAATCTTGCGGCACACCACTAACCAAAATGTTACAAAATGACACTATACAGTATATTTAATTACAATATAATTTCTACATTAATTTCTACTTACTCAGTGTGAGACCTGCGCCTGTTTAGATGAACACAAAGCTGATATCCTGGCAGGAATAGAAGAAAGACACACACGAAGCTCTTCATCAACAGCTCTCAGTCTCTCTCTGTTTTTAGTTTTTATAGCAGTTAAGCTTGAAAAGCTCTTCTTCTGGGTCAGAATCTTGTCC